AACTATTTGCTAAAATATCATCGGTGATTGTCAAGTAACAATGAACAATCAATCTACCTCAATGTTTCAGAAGAAACATGAGTGACATACACACAAAAAATACACTTGAGAACCCTCAAACCCTAAGACTCTAGAAAAATAAGCTTCCCCTTATTTGTGATAAAATTCTTAATGAAATTAGGTCTAGGTATTTCTTTAAATACTCCTCAGTAGTCCATGGGCTTCGAAATCTTCACCCAAATATTTCTTGATCCACAAGCTAAGGACTACATAAATTATGTAAAAAAATATCCTTAAATCTTGGAACTATACATCAAATTTCCTAAATTGTCTCAACATCCAATTTTAGAAACTTATGTACAATTGGAGATCAAATCAACTGTTTCAAATCAAATATTCTTGACCTGTACAAGTAAGTGTGATATGTCTAAAAATAATCTCACACAATCAAATTAAATATGTCAAGAAAGTAATAGCAGACTATACTGATATTCTGGTACAAAATGTCACAACATCTGTCTTCAATGTGAACTAACCAACATGTTAGAACATCTCACACACCATCTTACTATGAATCATATTTTAGCAAAATTATTGTGAATCCTAAAACCATGGCTCTAACTAACTTGGTTAATACAAATTTTTCTACATGGTATTTTGACTCATCTTAGAAACTCTTATATTTATCATTCAGAAGAGTCTCAAACTACATTTAAGGTATTGAAGTCTACCACCCTCTACTGTGTAAACAAAATCATCACCAAAGTCCTAATTAATTGCCTCTAAACTTTACTTGACACCCTTATTGGCCATGTACCAAATAAGTTTCCTTTTGCATTGGAGCACTTATGAAAATGCTATTATTTTGTAATAAATTGTTTATTACATATTCAATTAGAAGAAGAAAAAAAAGGATATATTACCTTCAAGTTATATTTGAAAAAGGATTTTGATAGGGTCAACTAGGAGTTTCTCAGAAGCTAGATGTCAAACTTTGGTTTTCCCCAAATTACCATCCAACTCATCATGCATTATGTTACCTCTCATTCTATGTATATCTCACAAAATAAAAATAGAATGTCATCCTTCAAACCATCATCAAGGGGGTATGTTCTAGTCATGCTTTTCATCAACTGAACAAAGAAAATTTTCAAAGGTCTGTTCTCAAGCTGTCAGATTTGTTGAAGGGTGTAATTGAAAATTTACAACAGTTACCAATTTATTATAGGGATGAAAATTTGGCCCATCTCCGGTGAGTACCCAAAAAAATCCCTACAAAAGATAGGATAAAAATCTGCACAAATGGGTACGGACACGGGCTTGGATAATTACCCACTTAAATAAGCGGATATGAATGTAGATATGGGCACTTTAGTACCTACCCCTCCCCTTACCCGCACAATACATATATTTATATACTTTAATTTATATTATTATATTAAAATAAATGTTTATCAATTTTCAAAAATACATTGATGTTAAACCATTACATTTGTAACATAAGTGTTCTTTTATTTAATAATTCAACAATAAATTTATTGAAAAAATTTAAATGTTCTTAACAACTTAAAATAATATGATATTTTATACTTTATATGTTTTTATTAGAAATACGGGTAACGAGTACGAGTATTGGTACTTACATACACAGAGGGCACAAGTACGAGTACTAATATTGTTGTTCAAGCGGGTATGAGCTCGGGTTCAGGGACTTCTTACAATCACGGGTAAGGGGACGGGTACTATAGTACCATACCCCTGTCCTACCCATTGCCATCCTTAATTGATTCACAATAGTCAACCGACCTGCTGAAGCATTTGCTCTTCCATAGTCCCCATAAAGAATATTGAAGCTAAATTATTTTTTGCAGCTATTGAGATATTAACTTCTGATTACAATTTTTTTTAATAATAACAAAAATATGAAATTAAAGAACATATAATTATTGATCAAAATATTGAATATTAACGAAAATATGAAGTTATTGAAGAAACTATTTAATATTAACAGGAATATGAAGTTATTAATCAAAATATTAAATATTAACAGAAATATGAAGTTATTTATCAAAATATTGAATATTAACGAAAACATAAAGTTGTTAATCAAAATATTGAATATTAATGTAAACATGAAGTTACTAATCAAAATATTAAATATTAACGAGAACATGAAGTTATTGATCAAAATATTAAATGTTAACAGGAACATGAAGTTATGGATTAAAATATTTTTCTATTAATTATGCATTCAATTAACTTTTTTTCTCCTTAACCATTAAAAATTATGACATTACAACATAATACATCCGTACTAATGCAAACACACGTGTATTCCACTGATATTTCATTGAATTTTCTCCTATTTCCAAAAATATCAACTAATGACTAACTTCATTGCAGTATAAACCTAAACGGGTGTTAAATATTTCCTGTGTGTCATATGTGTTTTCTTTTCTATTTTTATTTGTCTCAAATTATTTCTCTTTTAAAATATTAATGTGATATTTATTATTTTTTCATTAACTTACTCTTATTTATTATATTTTAATTCATATAATTATTTTATTATCTATTATTTAATAAAATTATTTTAATAAATAAGACTCATTTTAACATTAAAATCAACATAATTAATTATTACTTTAAAAAATATGAAATTCTAAAAAAAATATCTATTAGTATGAAGACGGATGAAATAATTGTTTTACTCCTAAATTAGATGTCATCATTATCTGAAATGAAGATGATCATGTACATTAGAAAACTTACAAAATTATGCATGTTACATAGACGAGAACAAGTTGAATGTTACATCCCTGCTTGTTGCTATATAGTGCAATCTAAAAGTTGGTGACACTATTGTTTTCAACATGGACAATCCACCCGATTTTTTAAATGCTAAAATCTACCACACCCACTAATACATTACTCTCTTTCTATGCTATGTCTTTTAAGACCTCCATTATCCATCAAACTCATTTTAGTTCTTTAAATAGGTCCTATATATTGTATATTATTTTACATATTCCAATTAATTAAATAACCCAACCCCATTTCTTAAATATCTATTCAATCTGTTAAAATCTTTAAAATAAACTCCACCAACCATATGATATGTCTCATATTTATTGAAATAGTTGCTGTTATATTAAATTTTAATTCAATTGAATGGCAAACAACACATTCGTGTAGAGGAACTAATTTCTTTCTAGAAACGATATTTCTAGGCTAATTATCTCACATCTCTGACACAGTAGCTTTGGATTTTGAATTGAGGGTTAATAAAATTGATTTAACATAATTGAATTTGATAAAATTGATTTTAATAAAATTAAATTTAGTAGAATTAATTTATGTTTGAATATATTTATATAAATATAAATTGATTAATAAATTTTAGTTTGAAAATTAGTCTGAATCAATTTTAAAAGTAGTAATTACAAATTATAATTTCAAATAAAATTAATTTTGAAAACAAAATTAATTATATTTTTGATAAAACTAATACCTCAAAATCATCTAGAATTAATTCTATACTTCTAAAATTGATTCTGAATCTTAAAAATAAAAACAATCAAAACATTCTATAATACTTACCTAAGCCATCTCAAAAGTTGGTACTAATAATTCATGGTTACATTCATGTTAAATTTTATATTTATTCAATTTCAAATGAAACAATAACTTACTATCTTTATATTTTTACTTTAAATATATTTTTTTTAATATTTGTGAATAAATACACATATGCATGTGGTGTTTTAAAAATTGAATCAGACCGATCAATCGAGATCGAGTTAAAAACAAGAGGAATTATTAATTTATTTCATTGTTGAATCGGATAAATTATTGAATTATTGGGAATCAACCGTAATCTTTTAAAATCAACAATTTTAAAAAACTAACAAATTAAATACTTATTTTTTTATATATAACGACGCCGTTTTGATATATATTTTTAAATAAATAAAAATAAATAAATTTAATTTAAAATTTATTTAAAACAATTTTTCTTCATAGAAATTATATTTATCAAACATTGCAGTGATTTTATTATTAAATTTATATTACAATTAGGTTTTATTCAAAATTTATTTGAATTTATATTTTATATTATTTTATTCATTATAATGATTATATTTAAAATTTGAATTTAAAGAATAAATTTATGAAATTATGATATTTTAAAATTTTATAAGTGAGGCTAAATCATTTAATTTAACCAATTTAAATACTATATACTATTGTTATAGAAATTATTTGGATTTAATGCGATGTAAAAATATAATTCGATTAATGATTATCTGATTTGATCAATAAATCAACTCATTAACCACAACAATTTAATCACCTATCAGATTTTTACAAATTGTGAGTTTTCTATTAGGTTTTTTCTTTTACAAGATGAGTTTTCTATATTAGTTAAAACTTAAAATAAAAACATTTCACAAGTCTTTCACTTTTTCAAAGAAAAAAAACAACATTTAATGGCTTTGGATCAGTTTTGTCCGGGCGATAAATCAAACGTCCAATAACAAGCCACGTGTTAATGAGTGTGCAATTTTTTAAAAGTAGCTTAAAACAAAATTGACCCCAAAACGAAAACTAGGTGCGGCCAACTTCCATCTCTCTGCTCGCGGCGCGCCGCCACCGTCCATTGTCGCCCCACCGACAACCATTCGCCGGTCAACCAAAGCCACAACCCCGCCGTAGAGGTCTGTTGATGTCCCCTTCAATTTTTTTGATGAAAATGCGCTAGGAATTACTTTCTGAGTAGCAGTCAGCGGCCGCGATTAACTACCTAGATTAAGTGCTTATAGAAAAAGCACTTATCATTTAAGTGCTCAATGTCAAACTGTTTTATATAAGTGCTTATGGTACAAATTGTAAATGTGAAAGTATCAACAAGCTGGGTCATAGGGTTTAGTTAGGGTTTAAGGACCTGAAGTTAGGGTTTAGGCATGCATTATATTTTATCTTTTTCTTCTCTTGCAGGAATGGAAATCAATTTGGGGAAACTTGCATTTGACATTGATTTTCATCCATCCGATAATCTCGTTGCAACCGGACTCATAGACGGCGACCTTCACTTGTAAGTTGCTTTCCATTTAGGCTTTGTTTGGATTGATGGAATCGGATGGAGCATAGCGGTATGAGATGGAATGAAGTGATATTCAATTGTTTTGATCATTTAAAATCGAATGGAGCGGAGCAGAATAGAGTGATATGAATTGCATTCCATTACATTTTTTCCCCCCGATTTGGCCGGAATGAAGAATTTGCCTTGTTCTGTCATAAAATTTCCAAACGATAGAATGGAACCTTGTTCCGCTATGTTACATTCCACTCTGCTCCACTCCATTTTGCTCCGTTCATTTTAATATCCATACATAGCCTTTTAGTCTTCCATAAAACAACATTATTAGTATTGTTATTTTTGTTGCATTTATAGTAATTAATGGTTATCGTGAATCATGTATCTCGCAGATACCGTTATAGCCCAGATAATACTAGTAGTGATCCCGTAAGGTATACATAAATTCCAAACTTCTTTTCTTTAATAATTTTTTGGATACCAAAAACATACATGGATATTGTCTTTGTGTTGTTTCCATTTTGTTATTTATTATCATTTTATTTTGTGTTAGCTCATCCTTGTAATCTAAACATTGCAATGATTTTTTATTTTTCTAAATTCCAGGGTGTTGGAAATTCATGCCCACACCGAGTCTTGCAGAGCTGCACGATTCATCAATGGGGGACGAGGTAATGCACCGTATAGCTTCTGTGGTTCTCATTTTATTTTTATTTTTTATATTTTAATCATTATTATGCTTATGTTGTTGATGATTTCATTTAGATGATTTTGACTTTGGAATGCTTAATGTAATGTGTGTTTTAGCGCTGTTGACGTGTTCTCCCGACTTCTCGATACTGGCTACAGATGTGGAAACGGGATCAACCATTGCCCGACTTGATAATGCCCATGAGTGAGTTGATTTGTGGATATAATTCATTTGTCATGATTTGGGTTATTGAATTACTTGTGTGCTGATCGCTTTATAATTTCTGTGGTTCTTTGTTTTGATGCAGGGCTGCGATCAATAGATTGATAAACTTGACCGAGTCAACCGTTGCTTCAGGAGATGACGATGGTTGTATTAAGGTAACTTGTTAGTTTCATTTCACATTTGCAGCATCTGCTTTTGCTCCGACTTCCAGATTATGCTGTGGAATGCATTGATAACTTTTAAAGTTACTCTATTTTTCAACCTTCACAACCTTTTCCCTGACATATAAATTAATTATGGAAAAGATCATACGAAAGTTCAATTCTTTTCATTTGATGTTCACATTTTGTAGGTTTGGGATACCAGAGATCGTTCTTGTTGCAATTCATTTGAAGTCCATGAGGATTACATTTCAGACATAACATTTGCATCTGATGCAATGAAACTATTGGCCACAAGGTACTCATTCAGTAACTTTTTTCACCTACCTGAAAATATGAATAGATAGAAAATATTACTCTAGTTGGCACTTGTTATTACATTTACGTTTTAGTTTTAAATTACCTGTATAGAATATATCACTGTCAATATTCCCTACAATATGCTTCATGAATAATAATGTTTTTCAAATTTTACTTTCTATAACTTATCAGTGGAGTCTAAAATAGTTTTTTTCCTTTCTTTATTAAGTGGAGACGGGACTCTTTCTGTTTCCAGTCTTCGACGAAATAAAGTAAGTTGCATATACATGTTTTATGGTTCCTTTTAAAACCTAAACCAATGAATGCTCTTTATCAGCTTTAAAAATTTACCCACCTTTTTCCTGGTTACTAACAGGTCCAAGCTCAATCTGAATTTTCTGAAGACGAGCTATTGTCTCTTGTTTTAATGAAGGTATCACATAATCATTGCGTGTGATTTTGCTGTGATTTTTTCTGTTTTATGTAGGAATTTTGAAAACAATGTCACTATGAAGAACTATTAGGCTATGTTTGAATGAGAAATTTTAGAGGGCTAAGTCTACATTTGATATTTGATATAAAATTTCAATCACACTTAATATATTGTTGGATATATTTTGTAGTTTCCATAATTTAAAAAAGGAAAATAAACACTCCTCTTCCCTCCAAAATTATCCATCCAAACATACCCTTAAGAAACTCCATTTATGAATTGTTTATTCTGCTGTTCTTGCTTCATGGTAGAAGTACTAAATGTCATCTGGTTGTTGTTGTATTCGTTTTCTATTTACATTTTTTAATACAAAAATAGCACCTTTTTTTTTATATTATAAATCATCAAAGTCGTATATAACTATTGTTTTTGATATTTTCTATACAACATTTGAAAACATGCACATGGCTAATATTTGCATTTTTGGGCTGGTATATCAGAATGGTAGGAAAGTTGTTTGCGGATCACAAACTGGAATTCTGATGTTGTATTCATGGGGATGCTTCAAGGATTGCAGGTACATGGCGTGGATTATATCATTATTACACGGTGGAAATCATATTACTTCTTCCACCTCTTGACTGATATATTCTAACAAATGGTTAAATTTCAGTGATCGATTTGTTGATCTCTCTTCAAACTCTATTGATACCATGTTAAAGGTGAGTGGATAGCATAACATGATTATTTCAGTTTCAGCATGCCTTTTCTTTACCAACATAGGCATTTTAATTTTTTTAATTATTATCTTAGCTTGATGAAGATAGGATTATTACTGGATCGGAAAATGGGATGATCAAGTAAGTCTTTAGCAGTTTTAGATCATTGTACATTGTATTTGAATCTTATTACAATCTTTTCATCTCATTCGTTCTTTGTCTCATTTATATACACTCTGTTTTTATGTTCAGCTTGGTTGGAATATTACCGAACATAATCATTCAGCCAATCGCCGAGCACTCTGAATATCCTGTTGAGCGTCTTGGTAATCTAGTCCTACTCTTTTCTCAGAATTTCATGCGGCGTTTTGGTCCAAGGGTTGAACCTATTGTTCCAGGCCTCAATATCTTAATCATTGGTTTTGTAGTTTTATGCTTGCAGTTTATTTGGCCTTCGTTTAGAATATTTATTGTGTTTAGCCTCATTATTGTATGCTCAGGCACTAGCCTACCTTTTTGTATGATACCAATTTTTTGTTTCTTTGTAGCTTCCAGTAAGTTTGACTTGTGATTTTCTTTGATCTTGTAGCATTCTCTCATGATAGAAAGTTTCTTGGAAGTATTGGACATGATCAAATGTTAAAGGTATTTTTCGTAACTTTCCAAAAAACTCAGGAATTGACTCCACTGCTGCCTTATTCTTGCAACATTTATTCTAGGCACTGATTTTCATGATTGTTATTGTAAGCTACCTTATTGTCATTTTAGTGTGGTTTGTAAGAAAAGTGTGGGCAGAAAGTAAGAGAAGTTAGATATTGAAGGAGAAGAGAGAGAGAGAGTTCAGAGAGTGGTCTAAAAATGTATTATGATATTCTGAGTTTCAGTAGACAGAGATGAGTTTTATTATAGCACACAATGTTAGGTCTAAGTAACCAAAAAACAGTTGCCGAGTTTTAACTTTTAACTCACTTAACAGCACAACAGATTCTGCTGTTAAGAAATCCGAAGTAACAAGTATTTTGACATGTGACAATATTATTTCTGGACTTATGTTTACAACCTAAGCTATAATTACACGAATGTAATTCGAAAAATGTCAGTTTCTCACCATAGATTCTTGGAAGTGATCATGCACCCATAGTTTCTCACCGATATTGTAGAAATGACGTTTGATTAGAGGCTTTGTAAGAGGACCACTGTGTCAGCAAGTTGGTGTCAGCAAGTTGGTGTCAGCAAATACACGAGCCACACCTTGGGCCTGTTTGGATAAACAACTTTTTTGGAGCTTATAGCACAAATGCTTATTAAAATAAAACACTTATGAAAAAGCTTGCATAAGCTATTTTTCAAGATAAAATAATTTAAATTATTTTTATGTGCTATAAATTGTTTTCATAAGTTATCTTTGAGAACTTATAAAAATAAGCTCAAAAAAGTTTATGAATAATGATATAAGCTGTTTTAATAAATTCCTCCAAACAGTATCACAAAACTTATGACATAAGTTAAGTTCAAATAAGCCAATCCAAACAGACCCCTAGTCTCTTTCTAAGAACCTTTTCACGAATAAAAGTTCCATGTGTTTGATGGGAGTGTAAGACTGGATTGAGGCTTCGGGTTAGGGCAACTGCTGACATTATCACAAATACAATAAATCACGTGGGTGTTGAAAACAAACCATGTTGAATCCTAGAGGATTTTAGCCTGTGAGGAGACCAAGATTATATATTCCACTTTGGTGCTTGAACAAGCAACAGTTGGCCTGTAAGAATAAATTCAAGCCTTGCCTTGCGAGATACTGATTTTGCAATTTTGCATGCGTGACCCAGATGCTTAGGGGCAAAACCAGATTAATACAATTAGGGTTTCATAACATTGTTCTAAAACACTGTTGCCTCAAACATCATTTTTTTCCCTTTTTGTGCAGCTATGGGACTTGGATAATATAATACAAGGTTCAAGAAGCACCACACAGAGAAATGAAAATGAGGTGGTTGACAATGATGTCGATAGTGACGACGACGATGAGATGGATGTAGATCACAATCCTTCTAAGTCTACTAAAGGTAAGCTATGATTGACACAAATACTATCATGTCCCTTATTATAAGCTCATTTTTCACAATTTTCACATATATTGGTGATAACTTTGCAGGGAAAAAGAGTAAGAATGCAAGTAACGAGCATGCTGTTGGTGATTCAAACAACTTCTTTGCAGATTTATAGGAGGACATTTGACTGCAACCTTTTCCATAATCTAATAAGAACACTTGCAACTGTGATTTTCTTATCAACAAGCTTCTTATCTAGGACATACCTTATGATACCACCAACCCTCTCCAAAATCATCACACCCATGTTTTGCCCAAAACACGACCTTCCCCAACAGTTTTGATCCCCAAATGTTTTTTAGTAATTTATATTTTGTTTCGATTTCTAGTAATATTGTATTTTGATATGGTAATAGTAATGTTTTTTTTTATAAATTTCAACAGATGTTTGAGTGCGATGAAATGTTGTTGTAACTATTAAAAAACAAATTCAAACAGCATAATTATAATTATCTCACTGCTCTTTTTATTTTTGGTGGATATATTGCTCATATTCTTCTTTCTCTAGATAAAGACTTGATACAAAAGCATGTTTTCAAAGTCAAGAATAGAAGTCATAGTATTGTTTTCACAATACATTCCGAAAATGAAATAAGAAATATTCAATTATTTATTTGTTAAAATAAAGAACGGGTCTGTCTTTTGTTGAACAAAGAAAGTTGTGATTTTTTATGTTGGACTCTTTACGGTGTTTGTAAAGTTTTAGGAAGATTTATACAAAATTGCCACGTATAAGAGAAATCTTCATCCGACAATGCTCACATGTCTATGGATGAAGACTGGAGATATTGAACTTTTCAGATCTCAAGACTGGAGTTTTGGATAATCTCTCATCTTTGACTTCGTTCTAGGTTCTAATTTTATGTTCAAGAGCTCATTTGATTTAGATTTAATTTTAAATATATATAGTCAATATCTTATTAAAGAGTTGAAGGTGCATAATAAAAAATTTCACACATACCACAATTTTTTTTAAATGAAATTCTTGAGTCTCTCGTTTTTTGTGTTAGTGGTCCAGCACTAGAGACAAAATGAATGTGTTTCTTTGAAACGAGTCATCAGTATGTCGATTTGATAATATATGGTTACTCAGAAAAATAATTTCCAATTCAAAATGGTTTATCTCAAAATTTAACTGAACCATTATGTGTATTTGGGGATTTTCAAAATCACAATATTTATTCAAGTTTATTTAAAACTGGGGTGTTCTATACCACAAATATCTTTAGAGTGGACATCTCATTCCACATAAGATGTTGAAACTTGATCGGATAACTTTTTGAATTAGACGGAAGAACTTACTAAGTTGAATGATATTGAAAAAGAATCAAATCATCAAAAGTCAAAGGCAGAACCATTCTTATATATAGATTTAGGTGGTGACACATCTTTTGATGTATTTTAATTTTTATCTTACAATATATTTAGGAGGTGATTCATTTTTTGTATGTAATATTTATTGTTATTTTCAACAATATAATTCATATAACAATATAATTCATATAACAATGAGAATTAGAAAAATAACACTTCTTTATGACAAAGAAAAATATTCTTTTTACTTATATTATATTGAATAACTAATGTAGTCTATATAGTGATACGATATATTGTATTGTATATTTAATGAAGATAAAAAGTAGTTTTAAAAAAAAAGGATTAGACAGAATACACGTTAATTTAAAGTATTTTATATAATTAAAAATAATTTTGATATCTAATAATTTAAATATTTATTATTAAAGATTTTAATGTGATTATATTTTTATTAAAATTATTTAAAGTAACTTTAAATTTAAAATTTTCTTTTCAAATTTAATATTAAAAAATTATAATTATATTTATATATTTGTAAACGATTCAACAACGTAAAAAGTTTATAAGAGAGGCGACGTAACATGTCACCTAGACCAACTTTTTAGTCATACGTTAAATCAAACACCCTATTATTTGGTTACAATGTAATTTTTTCATATCGCTCACTTTCCTTGTGAAAATCTGGAAGTGACGTGTCTCAGTCTACAACAATTGAGAGAGAAAGTGATCGTACCTAACTAGAATAGACTGTCACAGTTTACTTCGAGCAAAACTTGAGAGTGAGATGGAGGGTACCTGCAAGACACTCTGATGTCAAAATGAGATACATAATGAGCTAGCAAGCAAGAGAGTAAGAAATGATCAATACCTGACTCTCTCGAAAGAGATGGTATTTATAGCCCCCAGCGTTGGGCTAAGGTCTCCTCATTGGGTTGGTCAAACAGGCCCAACGTGAAGACTGTCAGGTTCTACGTGAGTAGCGGGGACCCCCACGCGGTCCTCCACCTGGATGACTTCCTCTGCAAGATCAGGAGGATATGAATGCGGTCTTTTCGGGGCCACGAAGACTCCGCGATATTCAGAGACATTGACAGTCAGCTCTACGACGAGGATGCTTGTGAGGCGCTTCTGATCGTCGTAGATGCTCCCCGCCAGACGCGAGGTCGTGTGAGGGGATCAGTCTTGGTTGGGGAGAGGATCGGAGGGTGACCTCGAGGTCCTCCTGACCGGCGATGATCTTCCTAAGACTGATTGGGTATCCTCGTGCGGTGAGATTTCCTCCTTGCGGGGAGTGGGAGTTGCTGCCCGACGATCTCGAGGGCAGAACTGGTCAATATACTTTGACCAACATAATTAGATTGGGCCTCTCGTGGAGCTGGGCCAAGGGCAGGCCCAGTCCAGAACAGGAGTACCCTAAGTCGTTGCTCTTGATGAAGGAGTTATGACTTAAGTCCAGCTTTTTCTTTTACGAGGTGCGTTGCTCGACGAGGATATTTCATTGTGTTAACGGAGAAAGTCGTCGGTTCATGGGTTTACCCGAGCAGTATTCAGAATGGACTCGAGATGGGACCATTCTAGTCGCGGGGAGGGGAAACCCTGCGGGGTGTAGGCACGTGGCGTGACCTTTGGGATTGTAATGATGGCCCAGGGAGTAGGGGTCATTATTAGCTGAGCGTGTAGGTGTCAGGGAGAAAGGCGGTTGTTGAGCTGTCCGACGCGACGTTTCACATTCCACGTCAGCTCTATATATAGTGCCTCAAGGACCATTACTTACGTTTACGTTCTCGCGCTCTCCAATCTCCCTATTGCCAACGCCGTGCTGTTTCCTTCCGCTGTCGCAGAATCCGCCGCGCGTTCTTCTTCAACCTTCGTTGTTCTTCATCTGCTTTGTCCAAGTAAGTACTTTTTCGTGATACTCTTTATTTTGATGATGTTTTAGTTATAGAATTTCACAATTGGGGGTTTATGCTCGAGGAATTCATGTATTTATGCATAATTTTCGTGATTGAGCCCGTGATATCCATCGTTTCCCCGACACTTAGATGAGTTTACCTCGTAGTCTTCATATATCCCTACAAAATTCATGGATTTTGCGCAAGAAGTTTATGTTATCCCCCAGTGAATTCATGAGTCTGGCCGGCAAATTCATACTTTACTCGCTGTATTCTTCCTGTGCTTGGGGTATTCATGAAAATGAGTGTTCGCCGTTATAACCGTTGTATGGTTTTATAAGACTGGCATGATTTTTGTGCCCTGATCAAGGGCCGAGTATTACCCCTTCTGCACGAGGGAATGTCGACTTGGTTTGGGCGCCGCCTAACCTTTTTACCTGCATCGCGGAAGGATGGATTTGGATTTGTTGTCGAATTTACCGGTCTCCTCTGCTTTACAGGTAAAATGGCCGACAATCCTGAATCGTCTGAGCACGTGGACATCGAAGAGACCAGTGTAGCCGAGGAGGATGTCAACTTGGTTGACACGGTTGACGATCCCGCCTTGGCTTGGGTCGGGGAGGAGCCTCGAGGGATAGCCTCGATATATAGTTACAATAGGAGGCAGGCTTACAGTGTCGTCGAGCATGGCGGCAATTAGGAAGGCTTCCAAAGGAACTTCACGATCTTGCGACCAACGCCCAATGCTCGGAGTTCAAGGAAGACCGCTTCCCTATGTACGAGGTTGTTTTCAGAGATTTGGGGCTTCTCCTCCCCTTCAACGATTTCCAGATGGGGGTCCTCAATCACTTGAACTTAGCACCTTCTCAGCTTCACCCGAACACCATTGCCTTCATCTGGGCATTCAAGATTACTTGCCAGTTCCTGGGGATCAAGGCAACCATTCCCCCATTCTTTAGGGTTTTTCATATACAACGGGAATCCCGGGGCGGGAACCACAGCTGGGTCTCCCTCAAACAGTCGAATAGGCTGTTCAGGATGTACATGGAATCTGTCTGCGACTTTAAGGACAGATGGTATGTCGTGCGACCTACTTCTCAGACTGCCGTGGACACCGTGTTCGACCCGACTCCCGTTGTGGATGAAGATGGTGAACCGTGTTATGATGCGAATGGCGAGCAGGAGATGGGGCGAATCTCGAAGTTTCCCATCCACTGGTGTTTGGGCCATTATGATCATGGTCCCGTGCATTACCATACTCCCGCCGGTGGCATGAGCACTGAGGACGAAGATGCATGTGGTGTTTTTAGTCGGTTCGTCGATGGGTTCTTTCCTGCTAGATGGGTCACGAGGGAAGGACATGACATCCTCGATGAAGATGGTGAGTCGACGTTTAAAGCGCGCCCGATCAACACCAAGGCGCTCGTCGAGTGTCGTTCTTATGGGGAAGATGTGAATCTCTTAGGTTTATGCTCGCTTTATTTTGCTATATTTTTACTTTCTGACTTAACTTTTTTTCTTTTGTTTTGTTATCCCGTCGAGGCTGACCCGAGGACACCGTTTTTATTTTTGCAGGTAACATGGCGGAACATCGGAAAGGATGTTGAAGCTGAACCAAGAGAAAAAGAGCCATAAGAGGTTGGTGAAGCCTCATCAGCCTACACACATAGGTTCAGTTTCCAAGCCGGCCAAGGAAGGATCCAGTGGGTCGTCGAGAACCCGCGGTGCCGACTAACAAGCTGCTGTGTCGGGCAGGAAAAAGAGTCGCCCCGTAGATGGAGTTGCTGGTGTGATCGGGGGGCGATTGCCCGAGCCTTCAACATCCCGCCTTGTTTCATAGAGAAGGATTTCTTTGAGGGCTTCCCTCTAACTGTGTTCGACAATGAGTCTGATATCATAAGGCGAA